GCATTACTAACAACTAACAAGCAAGGCCTTTCTTTTTCCATTTTTAAAGCCTATTTTTTTACTCTTGGTGGGTCTTTGTTTTTTTATATATAATAATTTTGTGTACAATGTATTGATGTCAAATGAGTTGATTGGAAAATTAATCGTTAAACTCTAGTAAAATACTTGTGAATTTTTATATATTAATTTATTTAATATTATGTAATATTGTAATAAATATTAAATTATACTTGATGCAAATTTTTTATTTTAAATTTTAAACTTATGATAACAAGACATAAGGAATTTAAATGGGTGTGAAAATATTTAATTATCTTAGAAATTATGAGTTAAGAATCCTAAGAGTTAAGTTAAAAATCATTTTCTTTCCTTTTTTTTTTTTTATATAATTTCCATCAAACCAAACATGGTGCAAGAATGGAGGGATTTAAGCTTGATACTTCTCATTCCTAAGTATTTGTCATTATCATTAAACCGATGCTTGGTTGACAATATGAAGTGAACATTATTATTATTATTGTTATTATTATTATTATTTATAAGCAACAATATAAACAATTGTGATTTATTGAAGTGTAGAAAGGTTGGTCTATGCTATATTGAAAAAAAAAAAGAAAAAAAAGTTGGTCCGTGACCAAAAAAATAAAATCTTGGGTTCTGCTTTTCACGGGATGGGATGGGATCAATGTAGACCCCGTATTTGCCAAAACTAGTACTATCTTTCTTTATTTTTTTTCCTCAAATAATTATTGGTCTATTTGAATTCGGAAAGTTACAAAGCATAGAGTTAATGCAAATATTTATTGTTCAAACCATATAGATTATAGAGAGATTAGAGTTTAAACCAACTCTGTTGTGATGACAAAAAGATACATCAAAATTTTTAAGCATACACCATTGTCAATGGTGGTGGCAACCATAACTTTTGTTTTGGCCACTAAATAATGTCAAAATTTTTATCTTAATTTAACTTAACTATTAAAAGTAGTTAATATTTGATAAAATAATTAATATTTATTATTTAATACATTAAAATCAATTTACAAATAAATATTTTTAAATATCATAAGTAACTATTTAAGAAAAAAATTATAAACCGATAAAATTATAATAAAATTAACGATTTAACAAAACTCAAAGTGACAATAGCCTCAACTATACCATTGGTAGAGGTTCTTCACTCGAGCAATTTCTCCAGCATCGAGCATTAATGTGGTGACTTGAAAGTAGGGAAAAAAGCAATGTCTGTACGAAATGTATTTGTCACTAGTTTAATGGTATGCTTGAATGCTATTCTGAATCAGTTGGTGTATATATGCTTCTGCTCACAAAGTTATTGCCTTGGTGTCATGGACCACCGTTAGTGTAACTTTACAAGACACCCATATTATGTCTATCGAAAGTAAACCTTGCATGAGTTATGTACATCTCTAGTCACATGCCTCTATGAGAACAAATGCCAAAATGTGTGCATGCACGTCCTGTATTTAATCATGACATTGATTTAAAAAATTATCTTCTGTTGTATAACTCATAATCTTTGATAAAAACGAAAAAGCAGCAGGACTAACGTAGGAGTGGTTGGCCAACGATTGACTAGCTTGATCCAACCATTTCATTGTCCTGCAACGTTCTTTTGTCTAGCAAAAACCTTTTGAGTGCTGAATTCTGTTAAATAGATGGTGACATATTAACAAAGCAACCACATGCAAGTAATGATAGCATACCAAAACCTCAACATTCAAGCAAAGCTTTCCCTTCCTCTTTCTTAAACTCTAGTTGGCTCACTTTACCTGTCGTGGGAACCCATTTTTCTTTCTGTCTCCTTTGCTTTTCCTTTCTTCAAATCTTCCCTCCCCCTGTAGTTTAAAATTCCAATCTGTGTATTCTTCTAGCTTCAATCTAAAGTTTCCAAATTTCTCCACTTTTCGTACTATTCTGATGGGGATAGGGGTGTAAATATAGACTTCAATGCTATATAAATGTGTTCATGGTTTTTATGATTTCTTCCGTATGACTTCTGCTCTTTTTAACTTTTTTTGGTGCGACTTCTGCTTCCTCATAACAGTTGTGGTCACTGGTTTATGAGATGGCCCTAAATTCGATTTAATGTTATGTGGTAGGAGATGTGTCACAAGCCTGAGGTTATAAAACTCGAAATCTACCAATAGTGAAGAGTTCTGAGCAACCAGCTTTTGAGGTTAAACAGAAGCACTTTGTTTTCTCCTCTTTTGGGCTCTGGAGGTAGTCATGGAGACTGAAAGCAGTGAAAAGTCGAAATTGGATGATTATGACGTGATAGAGCAGATTGGAAGAGGAGCTTTTGGTGCTGCATTTCTTGTTTTTCACAAGGCTGAGAAAAAGAAGTAAGAAATCTGTATTATATTTTCATTCTCTTCTTTTACTTTCCCTCTCTTTGGCGTAGTTTAAGATCATTTTATTGGCATTCTCTCGAATATGCATATCTAGGTATGTATTGAAGAGGATTCGTTTGGCTAAGCAAACTGAGAAATTTAAGAGAACAGCACATCAGGAGGTGATTCTTCTGAATACTTGAATAGTTTTATTTCTTTAGTATTGTTTCCTGGTAGGATGTCTAAATGTGGAGAAAATATCACTTGCTGTACTTAAATTAATCAATGAATCCTTCATGGAAAGAAATGATTCTGCCACTATACATGTTTATGTTGCAGATGAATCTGATGGAAACGCTTAATAACCCTTATATTTTGGAGTACAAGGATGCATGGGTGGAGAAGGTAGTCTGTGTTGAAGGTTTTTGTTGATTCCCATTAATAGAAGGTACTGAATGTTGAGTTTTTAATCGTTTTGTTTTCAGGAAAGTTTTGTGTGCATTGTGACAAGTTACTGTGAGGGAGGAGACATGTAAGTCCTACAAGAACAAATTCAGAAATCTCACTGTTTCTTTTTCTTTTAAAAAGCATATCTCTGAAGAGATAATGTTAATGCAGGGCTGAGATGATAAAGAAGAATAAAGGAACTTTTCTTCCTGAAGAGGTAATGAATATAGAAAAATGCAAGAAAGTTTAGTTCCACATTAAAAAACTAGAGAGACTTTAACTGGACTCAACCTCATATTTCCTTTTTATTCTCTTCTAGAAACTATGCAAATGGTTCACCCAACTGCTGTTGGCAGTAGACTATCTGCACTCCAACCGTGTTCTTCACAGGGATATTAAAGTATGAATCTCCAGCTATTTCTCTATTCAGAAGAGCACAGTTGTGCAATAGTTTTTAAGTAACTTCTTAATTTCATCTCAGTGCTCCAACATCTTTCTTACAAAAGACAATGACATCCGGCTAGGTACAAAACTGGTCTGAAATGCAGGAAAATCTTCTTTTCGATTCAGCATCCTCTGCCTTGCAGCTACTAATTCATCTTAACATTGTATGTAGGTGACCTTGGACTTGCAAAACTGCTCAACAAAGAAGATCTTGCTTCCTCGGTAATACCTGCATAGCTTCATTTTATCTCACAGTAACTAGGCTCCAAGGCTGCAATCTTCCTTTTCTTGTTGAAGTTCATCTAAGTGGGCTTAATTCTTCTCCATATTGTTAAGATGTCCATATCTATGACTATGATCATAGATTAATTCTCATGTTTCAGGTTGTAGGTACCCCAAACTACATGTGTCCAGAGCTTCTTGCAGATATACCATATGGCTACAAGTCAGATATATGGTCCGTAGGTAATATTAAATACCAGTGACCTATGGTTCTTCATTTTGCCAAGCAGATTAAAAACCTTATTTCCTAAGTACTTTTGCTAATCTGGCAGGTTGCTGTATGTTTGAAATAGCTGCACATCAACCTGCATTCAAAGCTACTGTAAGCATTAGCTTCATAAATACATATTAATTCCAAATCCTAGAACTAGATTTTCATCAACACTCATTTGAAACAGGATATGACAGGACTGATCAACAAAATAAATCGATCCTGCATCTCCCCACTACCAACTGTGTATTCCTCTACCCTGTAAGCAAATGTTACTCAACATGCTTTTCCTGACTTCCCAATTTCTGATATATATCAAGGATGATGGTGACTTTCCATGTTGTAGGAAACAATTGATCAAAAGCATGCTAAGAAAGAACCCAGAACACAGACCAACAGTGAGTTCAACTGGCCTTATTCTGTCTGTTTTTTTTTTTTAATGAGAGCAATTGCTTGTGCTGATGCTTGCACTTACTATATCTTAGGCTGCAGAGCTGTTGAGGCATCCCCATTTACAACCGTATCTTGCTCAATGCCATAATCTATCTCCTGTTTTTCTCCCGGTAAAGTCTGAAAATAGCAGTAAGGATAAACCAAAAGCAATCTGTTTTCCAAACAAATCTGGCACTGGAAAAGATTCAAAAGGTGAAAAGGCAAGATCTTCAAGAACCAGCCTATCATATTTACCACCAAGGGCTTCAAATGAAGATGGACTTCAAGAATTCACCTCTGAGAGCCCTGAGGTTGTGCAGAAGGAAGTCCAGAGTATTCAAGGAGTTGATAATAAAGGGAACTGTAAGAGATTGACAGCATTGCGCGTAGTTAACAGAGGCAATGCTGCTCTTTCTGGTAACGAAAAGGAAAGAGAATCAAAGGAAAAGAACAAATATGAACACGATAAAACTCCAAGATTATGTTGTTTACATGGAACTGAGAATCCCAGCTTGCCTGGAATGAGAATATCCGCACAAAATACAGAATTATCAAGTGGAACCCAAGCCAGAAAAGAAGAAGATGATTTCAGCAGTTTCAAGCAGAGAAGACAGGAAGGTAATCATGAGTCAAATGAAGCCTCTTCCAACTCGTCAATAATGAGTACACTAACTCTGCTTCATTGTTACCAAACGAAGACCAAATGGGATACTCAGAGCCAGAAAAGGGCAGACGCTCTGGAATCACTGCTTGAGATTTGTGCAAGCTTACTTAGACAGGAAAGGATAGAAGAACTTGCAGGAGTACTAAAACCATTTGGAGAAGAAGCTGTGTCTTCCAGAGAAACAGCAATTTGGTTGACAAAGAGCCTAATGAAAATGGATGTTCAAAGAAACATGTCAAAAGAATATGGAAAACCGTAATTTGTACCACGGGTTCTTGTTAAATGGTGAAATCTTACATGAAAGTATAATAAAAAAAATGTGTCACTTAAATATAAAGATATGTATTTCACTAAATATCGATTAATTTTATGTTAAATATAAATTTTATATTGAAACTCATTTGTTTTTCAGTGTTTTGTTATAAACTTACTTGGCATTTAATTTAAGATTATTTTAAGGTATTATGGTTATAATTGTAGTTGTACTATACTGAATTGTGTTGTAAACTTGTAGTTATGATTAAAAATTATTTTGGTATTTGATTATTTATTTATTTAAAAGTATTATAGATGATATATGGTAAATTTTATTAATTTTTAATTAAAATTTAAAAAATATTATATGATATATAATTATTAAAATAAATAACATTTATTACTTTTTAATAATATAAATTTTTTAAGTTTTTTAGGATAAGTATTTTTATGAGATTCAGAAGATAGCAACTCTTAAAAGGGAATGGGTTTTTAATTTTTTATAAAATCTTCAAATAAACTAGAGATTAAATTTTAATAAAATAGTATAAATTATAGTATAATTAAATTAAAAGATACTAAGTTTTAATAAATAATTTTACAATGTTATCAAATATTAAGTATTATCTATAACAAACACAATAAAAAAACTCCAAAATAAAACTTTTAATTTTATATATATAATTCCTATAAACTTATCATAATTTTTTACAACTTTTAAACTAATAATAACATAAAAAAATTATTGAACACACACACATATATATATATATATATATATTATATGATTACAAGCAAAATTCTCAATCGCATTTCCAGCTTGAATAGAGGTGCAATTCCAAAGCAAGCCTAGTGTTATTAAAAAAATGTTTGGGCCAAGTTGCAAACGAGAATGATAGACCGACTAT